TCTAAGTTAGCTGGAAATAGCTGTTTAACCTCCAGAGGGAATAAATACTTTCAGAATTATCTTCACTCTGATCATTAAAAGAAAAGAAAAGTGGGGGAAGGGGAGCAGTGTCTCTGAGAGACAGCCCCAGAACTATGATCTGAACTGCAAATCTGTACTGATCTCTGCAACCAAAAAACTGCCTGTCAAAAACTGCACGTGGGTTCAGTAATTTGAAATGCATTACTGTGTGTAAATGATTTCCTGTCTACTTTAACCTCTTACTGCTTCCACTAACTCCAGTCCTCCACCACTACCCATTCTTTAGCGTGTAAGACACTCCTATGTTTACTGGGCCAGATGAATCCTTTAATTTGACACACAAGTGAATGGATCTATTGGACACTATGTATTAGTCCTACTGTGCTTCACCACTTTCAAGGGATAAGTAGGATATTCAGCATCTTAGTGCTCCTTATACTAAGAGTTCTGTTCTTGTTATATTCTTTGCAATGGTTTACAAAACACGTTTTCCTCTTATTCTGCTTTGGCACATCAGCAGTGTGAATTTGCCAAGCACAGTAATTCATTGTTCCACAGTTTTTGAATGAGGAAGTCATTAGCAGGTCAAAGCCCAGATGTTGGCGTGCCTGTTTAAAGTTACTTTCATTCTTCTGCAAATACTTCATGGGCATGCAAAGAGTGCTTTCACACACCTGCCTCATCTGATTTGAGGGAATTGTGTTACAAGAAAACATTTGCAACGTTCAGGCCAATAGGATATATGAAGTATTACGATCTCTTCTTTATCCATTACAACTCCAGCTTTAAGAACCTACTTTTATAGCGAGTATCTGAAGGAAGTTAAAAACAACTAGGTAGACACACCCAAGACGCAGAAGGCAGCTAACTACGCAGACTTTAAACTTTGCCCAGGAAGATGACTATTACAAAACAGGGAACAAAACACACAGATATTTTAAATAGAAAATACCAAGAAAAATGAAATTTTTTTACAAGGACCCAAACTGTTCAAGTATTCCTCAAGACATGAGGAGGACACAGCTGGACAGACAGTTCAGTTTATACCAAAAACTTAAGTTATTTGAAATAACATCACAATGGATAGTGTATTAAGATCCAACACAAAACATCCTACAAAAATAAAACATTCCCGGGAACGTCCATGCCGCATGATACTGGTAAAATCCAGAAGCTTAATGCCAATCTTGTTGTAGCTGATTTTAAGCTATTACATATCTGTATTTAATATACATATGACTCATTTGCTGTATTCTGAACTCACTCAAGTTAAACGGCAGCAGCAAAGCCTCAGGTGCTCATCCTACCACTGATAAACCACCTCATAAGTGTCATCCAGAATCACTAAACATGTTGTGGTAGGATAAACTGTTCTTTGAAAGAACAGATGAGTCTGTGTTTTTAGCCTTCTCTTCTCCCTGACACTCATGCTCTGACCTTCCTCTCTTCAGGCCAAGTTTTATATACTCTGTAAAGTTATCAGACTGGGCATATCAGTGCACAGCACGCACCTGCACAGCCGATCCTGACGCTGGCCCAATGCTTCAGCGGAAACCTCTCTTACTGTGCCCAGAGACCCCTTCCAAAACACCTGCCCAGCCTCAGCTCGTACCATCTAAAAGACCACTGGCAGCTCTATGAGTGAATAGCTAAAGTGAATACTACAGTCCTCAGGCTCTGACAGACAAAAATTGAAAAGAGAGATGAATTGGCTGAAGAGCACAAACCTGAGTTTTCCTCAGCAACTTCTGAAGCTAACAGATTCAGCTGGAAAAAAAAAGGGGGACTGAAATAGAGCAGTAGATCGGGTTTCTGGAAGGGCAGTAAATGCAAGAAGTGCTGTAGAAAGTAAAAGCAATTCACTGAGACACTTAAATTTCAGGGCAACATGGAGGATTTACAGGTGATACCACTATAACCTAATGTCAGCAGCTCACACTACTACTGCAGAGATTATGAGAATATCAACAGATAAAGCTCGTAATGTAGTGCATACGAGTGCTGAAATAAGTAAGGTAGATTAAGCCAAAAACTTAGGAAAGACGTTGCCCAAAATCTATCCATCTTTTCACAGAACTAGGACTGTTTAATAGTAGTCACAGCACATGCTGAATGAGCGAGGGGAAGGCATGTAACCTCAGCCACAAATACTTGCTTGAGTCATTCTGCCGTTTAGGAATCAGCTGTACAGGAACACAGTACCAGGAACAGAGACAGGATACACTTCCCAAGGTCCAAACTAGAAGAGAATCTGGTATTAACTCCCTGATGTTCGCTACATGAAATACTTTTCTCTATTTCCGGGAGGCAGAATTACCTTAGAGAAGTATTATCCCAGGAACAAACATAATAGTGGGGCTCTTATTCTGAGAGCCTCTCGTCAAATTGCACCAGCAAAGCAGATTTGAAAATACAACATATTAAGCTATAGCTATTCATTTGGTCAGTAAAGAGTGAAATCAGCCCAAATTTCTAAGAATATATGCATTCCCAATATGAGGAAGGAAGAAATACGTTATGTGCTGACCAGCTTCTCAGGATAACAGGCCAGATGCAACAATGGCACAAAGTTGCAGAAAGCTGCACTGCTCCCAAGAGGAGGATGGCCACAGTCTTGCCACAAGAAGATAAAAGTGGATATCAACGGAGATGACAATATCACCCAGGAAGGATTCAGCAACACGAGTCCTATGGAACCAAAGCTGTAAACACATTCCACGAGTCACGGTCACAATAGCTTTGATTCGTATGCATGCTTTACAAATTTAGGCACACTTAACTCTACCTGAAATAGACACAGATGCGAACTACCAAATAGTCAAAATTTTTCTAATACATAAAACTATAAAAACATCCTGTGATCCCCTCAGAAACTTGCTGCACTTCAGCACTTGCTAATGTGACAGTAGTTATGACTGTGAGCATAGTCGGGACTGAGTCAGAGACCTCAAGAACTAAAAGAATTAATTTCTTTAGAACGAGTCCTTTGGCCAAAAGTCAAACTATGCAGAAATTCAGTTCTTCCACAGACAGGACCCAAAATACACGCTCCTCCAGAGGGCTGCATTTACTAGAGGTCACTCCCCATTATCTGCCCCATTCAGATTGTAGAAATAAGAAAACAATAGCCAAAAAACTCTCTACTCTGCAAAATCAGAACAAATGCTCTACCTATGACTTCGACCAGTATTAGCGATTGGATATTTTCCACAGAAAGGGATAGGCCAGCAGCTTGCCAAAGAAGGCATAGACAAGCAAATGCAAAACAGACATTAAATGAATTAAAGGTGCCAAGGTTTTGTCTAGGCCAGAGATTAGCATCAAAATTAGCAGCAGGCACCCAGCCTCTGGAAAGCAGAAAGCGTATACTACAACAAATGCCAGAGAACGGACTTGTGGAACCTAGCCCTTAGTCTAAAAATATTTTTGTCACTATATGCACAGTTTGCCTCATTGAAGAAACTCCCATTGCCAGTCACTGAATGCTGAAAATCAGATTCACCTCCTCTTTAAAGTAAGGATTTCAGCACTGCTGTAAGCAAAGTGGAGAAAAACGTACACCAAAAATATTTTTTAAAAAAAGTTCCAAACTGAAAGGAGAAAGAAGTGAGAATAAGGAAGGCTGCTGAGGGGGATTAAGGAGAAGAAATAAGGGAATGAACACACAAATTATTCCTATTACCTAGAGAAGAAACCTTTTTGCTATTTTTTCTTCCACAGTGTTATTTCGGGCTTCTTTTCCATCTTACATCAGCAAAAAATTGAACAAATCACAACAGAATGCAAGGAAAAACAATCTGAAATTTGAATCCACATAGCTGAAAAGCAATACGCGACAGCCAAGCTCGTTTCATAAACTAAGAACCTTCCCAGCCTCATGGATGATCATCGATATCTCAAAATGAGCCATTTAAAATATTTCAAGTATTCGGGCTAACACTAGAAATGCCAAAGAAATTGAAAAAGTCCTATTCTTGCCTTTTCCTTGCTATGATCTAGCATGGAAGGACCTGAATTTTTGTCACATCACCGTACCACAGTGGCTTGTCTGCAGATTCCATGACGAAACTGAAAAATCTTTGATGCTGTTTGTAGTGTTAAGATTCGTATTAAAGGTATTAAATAATGCCCATTACATTACCACAACTATCGATATACAACAAACAAAAAATAAGAAATTTGAACAGCATTTGACAGTAAGTGGTTGTTTGTAGCTTCAACTGTCACTGCTTCATTTGAACTGTGGTTTTGGTGATACCCGCATCAAACGCTAGAAATGACTGACTGCTATCAAGTTGAACTGTGCACATGCACACACTCCCTAGCACCTAAAAAAAATCAATGCTGATACTGAGTTTACTAACAGTGAACTGCATGCACTGCTCCTAGGCTAGGCTCACGGGGTAAACACCATTTTCCTACCTGCTTATACAAGAGCATAAAAATGGTTGCAAGTCAAATGCAGCTTATTGATACTTCTGTGGTTCTGCTGAAGAAGGTTTCTCAAGGACTTGACCTGAAGGTGCAGCTGTCCAATCAAATGCAAGCCTACAGCTTCAGACTTGAAACCTTTATTAAGTGTTTTTCAGTCCTTTTTTCTCCAAATGCTTGCTAGGAGGAGAGAACGCTGAATAGCTTCAAAATAGATATAAGCATTTTTTTAAACTTACAACTTAAAATAAAAGCGACTTTGCACTATTACAATTACAGCCAGTCTTCTTGCAAAAGCAACTTGTTCCTTTCCTCTCTAAGAGAGACAAAATGACAGAACTATGTTTCAGTCAGCACTTAAGTGCTTACCTTTAGGAGGGGGGGAAAAAAAAAGGTTTTGCTTACTCTTTACAAATGTAGAAATGCTAATTAAATCCCTATATCTAATAAATGCCAAATAAAACTGATTTTTTGAATATTAGTAAAGACTATTTTCCCCTAAAACTACTTCCCTTGAAAAATAAAAATAAAATAAATTTTATACATACCTATTTTCCCAAAGACGACTCACAATACTACACAGCAATGCTTGAAGCACAGTACATGTCTCAGCAGCACTGAAGTGATCAACACCACTGGCTAGAGAGGCATCAGAAAAGCTGTTATTTTTAGGAAGACCAGCTCCTAAAGGAAATGTACAGACCCTACTTCCTGACTGATATCTAAAATGCCCTGTTTACTAGGCAAAATAACTCTAAAAATATACTTCATTATCTCATAGTGCAAAAATGTTTTAAAAATCCTAGGCAAACCCAGAAGACAGTTGTTTAAATCAGCAATCTTTTTCCTAACCCAAAGGTCATGCTGCAGATAAGACTGATATTTAAAGCTCAATTACATCAGTTCTTAGATGAACAATGACAAGAGAAGCTTCATTAGCTAGCCTAAAATGAGGTATTTTTAGGAATAAAGAAATACAATAGCTGGTAATCGCATATGTAATTGCTAGTACGCACGTACGTATTTTAAAGTGTTAGCAAACCAAATTCTTAAATATCCATGCTAAGATGACTTGTTTGGCATTATCAGGTATTGTGCTGGTAACGTGTTCAGCACTAGCAAATATGGCAGAACATCAGCTGGTCCTGAGGGACTGGAAATAACAGTGGCCTACCTACAATAATCGGTGCAACCCATTGCTCACAGCTGGATGGCAGTTTATTTGGGAAGGATTTGTTCCTGAAGTGACCTTTCAGCACCTGACATGCAATAGCGATTTGAGGCCCTCACTCTCACAGTCTAACTTGATTAGCAATTTTCTATAATCTAAAATAAACAAGTTGTGAAAAATCCTTACTTGATGACACAGCAGAATGGAAAATGAACGTCCCTAGGAAAACTGGGTCACTGGTGTATCAGTCTTCCAGCATGTAGGCAGATATTACTAAGAAGGTTTTGCCATTATACCCTATGAATAACTCAAGTGCCAGTGTTTCAAAGTAAAGCTTGCCTTAAAGACCTTCTAAAGAAGAAGTAAAGAAAAAAGAATCTTTTCTACTTTTGACACTAATTCTTCCAATTTGCTAGAATAATACTGGCTTTTATCTAGTCCAAGAACTAAATGGTTTTTTCTGTTAAAGAAGCAGAGACACAGAGCTACGCTTAAACACTCTTTAAAACTCTTTCTCCAGTGAGTCATGCAGCTGTTATGCTGGGAAAGCACCACTGCACATATCAACAAAAGGTGCTCACTAAGAACAGCAGATGCAAGTTGCCCTTGAACGGCATTACACAGACTCACAAAGGGATTTTTGCGAGCCTGTTTGACAGCTGACACTGCAGCGCAACAAACTTGAGTGCTATCTTATTATTACAGGTTCTGCTAGAATCACTATAATTAAGGAACTATTGGTGTAACCCATTATGAGTTCTTTTTCAAGGGCTGATAACTGAGCTGTAAGATTTGCTTTGGCAACTTGGCAGCCGGGTATGAATGCCCACAAGAAAAAAAAGTCTTTTTTTCCCTCTTCTCAGAATATTAATAATTATCAGTTTTGCTTAAAAAATACGTCCAAAAGCATTCAGAAGTGCAGCACTTGTAACAACAGAGCAGCCATTTCAGAGTTTTTAAGAAAACAATTAAACACAAATGGCTTATCATGGTTCAGTGGACGGACTACAGACAAGAGATTTACGAGATGGGAAGTCGGCTCTTGCCAGTGGATTCTCTTGCGACTTTAGGCAGGTAAGCTAACGTCCCTGTGCTTCCCCTTCCCTGTCTCTGGAAGGGGGATAATTGGCGTAACGATCTACAAATGAAATGCAATCACTAAAAGCTAGGGAATACGCTGTGTAACTGACATGTCCTTTCTAAATATAATAGGTGACCCTCGACCCTTCCACAACCACAAATTCTACATGCTTCACATAAATGCTGCACGTATTCTTCCTTGCTGAAGCTTCAGGCCACCTATGGGCATTCAGTGTCAGCTTAATAAATAAATCTGTTCCATATAATCAATTAGAGGGTTAATATCAAAGTTTCAAGATCCCAATTACAGCTGAACCTTAGAGGCTTAATCTCAAGAGTCTAGACAGCTTTAACACACATCTCACAATATGCTAACCATTTGTTACTGCCCAAATAACTCGACTGGGAACTCATCCTAATGGCATAGTATTTCTGATGAACTGGGCCCTTTAACATCTGTTTAATCAAATATAACACAAGTGAATAAGGCTACTGTTTATACCAAGATTTTCAAACTTTTGCTATTACCTTTTGTCACCTTCCTATGTATGACTGATCAGAAATCTGTGGTATAAACACTGCTTTTTTTAAATCCTGAAGAACTTCTTTCCCCTCAAACAGGAAAGGCAAATATGGAGGGAGAAAATGACAATCTAACAGCTTTTGGAAGTAGCACAGTCAGCATAATTGCCCTACTTTCAAAACTCTGAGCAAATTAATCCTTCTAGGCAGTATTTATAGGTACACTTTTCCCCCAAGGACTTTTAAACACAAAGACTCAAACCAAGAGATCTTAAGTCATGCCATTAACAGAATCTCACTAGTCTGTGAATGGGATTTTGCAGTACCAGTCTCTTTAATATCGTATTTTGTACGCTTAAGTTGATTCACAATGAGGATTGTGGTGTAAATATCGATGGCACAGCATTGACCAGAACAAAGCACCATTATGTCTGTATGGTGAAAATAAGCTTTGGGCTTTAATCCTCTGTCACTATATTTGCAATCCCTTAATATTTGTAATGCTTCTTTTCAAAGAGTAAAATCGTATCTTTCCAGAAAAAAAAAAATGCATATCAACAAAAATCTGAGTGGTGGGCTTCCCAAAATTTGGGAAGAGGCAGTTCCATAAGGAAAGTACTTCAGGCACAATCATTGACCACTGAAATTAAAATAGGTGAAGCAGCTGAAATTCACACTTCATTGTGCCAGTGCATCTTAAAATGTATGTACATACTCACTTTGGAAAAAAAGTGATATATTTGGCCATAACTCCATTTGGCTTCAGAATCCATGTTAAAAGTCTCTGAATTAGTACTAGGATAACACTAATAACTTCAACCAAAAAGAGAATTCCTCGTTTCACTACAAGTAAATATAAAGATAAAAAATACGTTTTCAATTTAAGTATTCTTTCCTGCCATATCAGAGCCTTTGAATTTCAAAATCCCTGGCTCACTTTCAGAACTGTGGAACTACAGGAGACAGACAGAGGAACTACCAGCAGGCACCACAATTATGGGCGCTTTAATACAAGAAATTCCCGTTTGTTTTTTCCATACCTGTCCTCTGATTTGAGAAAGTAAAGATGAAAAGAAAATCTGATCTAAGTCATTGTTTGCCAACAAAAACCTAACATAGGTTTAAGTGCTTTACTGAACGGAGATAACTTTGAAACTAAGTCTACGATAAAGAGCCTTGTTTTAAAAGCCAAAGATAAACTCTATTAATTTTGCCTTAATAATAAAATGTCCACACCCATCTTTCCTGAAAAATCTCTAGTTCCTACTACCTATTCTTTTTCCACCAAAAGGCCAAAACTTTTAATGTCTTGCTGATGTTAATATACCACTCAATCACAACAGGAAGAATAATCCTGAACTTAACAGATCACATGAACTGTACCGCAGAACCTGGCAGACCTTTTGTTTGCTTCAGCCTCTTTAGTACTTTTACCTAGCCATATAAGAAAAAACAGGAAGCACAGCTCCCAAAAGCCTTGTCCACAAGCAGAGCAAGAATCCCTCACTACACCGTCTTTTCGCTTGCTCAAAAGCAGGACTAGCTTACAGAGTTTACCAAGCATTAGTTTTCATATTCTACTAAGATAAAATTAACGCTGGTTGTGACCCAGCGACATACAGGAACAAACCAAGATCACATATTTTACAATAGAATTCAGATTCAGCTAACATATAGCATGAACTTTGCAAGCAATAAGGAATTTGCAGCAAAGACTGTTAAAAAAAAAAAAAAAAGAACAAGAAAAAGAAATTTGAACACGGCCAAAGTTATACGTTTTACTTAAATTGTAAGATAATGTTTCAAGAGGCAACAGAAGTAAAAAAAAAAAAAAAAGAAAAAAGAAATGCTGGGTTTTTTTTTTGTTTTTTTGGTTTTTTTAAACAAAGTGTCTTGTAAAAATGATCATTTGTTCATAGATTTGTCAACTTTTTTTCATCCAAATGTGCTGGGCTACTTTATAGGTGTTAATGAAGCCTCACAACCCCTTTACAAATATTTATGTTATAAAAGAATAAACTGAGACAAAGGATGCAAGTTTCAGGGTCAAACACTGAATCAGTGTCAGAATTGGAAGCCGTTTCCCAATTCGGAATTTGCAGAAAGATTTCACAAACTTAGGCATTTTCAGAATCAAATTCATTCATTCTGTTAAAAATAATAAAGGTTCAACAACTGTGCATTTATGTATATTTGTGTATGTCCTATGTTAAATTTAGTCATCATGCAGCAAAGTACCTCAAGATCTCAATTTACAAATTTTTCAGTATTTTCTAAGACGCAGGAAAAAGCTTGTTGAAACTTTTTGGAGAGTGGAAAGTTCACAGACAGCTCTTTTAGTCCATTATTAACCTTACTGCCAAATTACAGCTGTAGTTTGAATGAAGGAACAGGTCAATATGCACTGCTTACCCTATTCCTTTCTGTAAGCAAATAAAATAGGAGATGCCTGTGTCCCTGAAATCAGTACTGATAAAAAAAAAAAAATCCATACTGGCATAGAAGGCTAATATATTGTGGATTTAACTAAGTGAAAAATTACTGTATCTTAATTTTTCACCTGGGAAAAAAAAAAGAATAAAATATATATTTGTATAACGACTTCTGTCTATAAAGTGGCATTAGTTAGTTATTAAATTGTAAATGCTGCATCACGATCTATCTTATTAATAACTAATATCTAGCATTTTATAATGCTTATACTGAATAGCCTATTTCTAAAAGGGATTTATAGCTAATCCATTATTCTAAAGAAGCCAGTTTCCTAAAGCAAAAAATCTCATTCTACTTCAAATAAAAAAAGTACAAGTCACCTCACAAAGTTTTACTATAAGTAACGTGAGTAATGCT